AATGTTATAACATGAAGTTTAATCTTTAAGCTCCTTAAACCGTCTTCAAAAGATATATCTTCGGACACATCTTGGTTACCTCTATCTAAGGAGTTTTGCAATTGGTAACAATTCATTATCGATCTTCCACTTCTTAAGTATTGTTTTACTTCTTAGGCATTGTTTACCCATGTTTCCTACTCTCCTTGAGTGCCTAAACATGCTTTCAAAGCTGGTCAGTCAAGAAGAATAGGTGGCTCGACACATACAAAAATAGGACATTAAACACAAAACAAACGACTCAACAAAACACTAAACGTAACAAATAAGACACTTAATACCACAAAGACAAGAAAAACAAGTAAAAGTGTCTAAATTAATAAAGTTATTCTTAGCACCGATATTGACAAAAAATCTTTCTCGACAAAGACACCAAAAACTTGATGAGCGCAAGGTATACATCTAACAATTAGCTCATTCATTGCAAATTTTTATGTCTATACAATGCTAAATACCCCACATGTGATTTTTCGCATGTATACAAGTCGTGGTTGAGTATAAGGTATTTAGGGTCAACCCATAACGAAGATTGCCAATTATTGATGTTTTTTGAAATTCTTTATTATTTAGATTATCATAAGTGTAAGAAATTAAATATACACTATAAATATGAGATAGAAGTAATACAAATAATAATAAAAAACTCCTAGAGGTATGAAATTCCTAACTACTCCTACAAATAAAATTACCGATTAATTGAATGATATTATCTTAGCTAGTTATGATGTAATTTCCTACTGTATGTAAAACCTACTCTCGTATTGAATCAATTATACTTGTAACTAATTCATACCTATTCTCGTGGTTATGAATTTAACTACAAGTTTATTTCTTCTATGAAAGTATATGAAACAAGCCACTAAAACTGCAAAAGTGCACCTCTGCTCTCATGAGTATACTCCCTAGATTTATCACTTCCTTAAACTAGTGTTAAATTTTAATTTTTATTGCAAATTTAACACCTTAACATTATCACAATTAATGGCCGGTTAACCATGATTAGCTAAGCAAAAGTGATAAAGAATTTGGTTAAAAAAATCACCAAATAACCAAGTAAATATCACTAACAAGATATAGAAAGTTCATCTATAAGTCTAGGCATAAACTTTAGCAAAACATGAAGAAACACAAATCCAAACTTATATAATAACTAAACATGAAATCAAATACAAGATATAAAATACTAAAAGAGATATCACTCTTGTCACATGAGATCAAACTCTCCATCTTACTCCTTAATCTTCATCCAAATTTAGCTACAAGTACGTATAAGAAGGATAAACTACACTAACTATGCTAATCTACCCTAACTAATGAACCAAGGAAATTCTAGTGGAGACTACATTTTTGTGGAGTTTCTCCGGCCTTCCAAAGCTGTAAAACAAGCTCTCCAAAGGCCCTATTTATAGAGAAATTAAAGCTCAAAGTGAGTTGTTTCTAGTTGACAAAATTGCCTCTTGAAACTTCCAAAAGTTGTTTCTACAAGATTCCCCACTGGCTTGCTTATTTTCAGTTGAATTTCTTATAGATAAATTGGTCAAAAAACTTGTGTGAATAGAGAACAAGTTGTAGAACAAGTTTCAACCACAATTGAAAAATACGTGATCTTGAAAACGGGACCTAAGGTCGTGTATTAACCCCACATTTTGCCTTTTTTGCAGGTTTGCTCATTTCTTGTTAATCTTCATCCTTGCTCTATTTTTATACCAACTTCCACTAATATTATTTCGATGATGGAGGCTGAACTAACTCTTGTACAAAAATTCAAGTTGTAGTCTTTGAATTAGCTTTCTAATTTCTCAAGAATCATCCAATTTGGAGCTCTGTAGACTGAGAAATAACCAAAATACCCTCGATTAATTAATCCCCTGTTTCAACTTTTGACAAAAACATGATCGACTGTATTTTGACTTTTTGATAATGAAAATGAATGAACCGAACTTCGAGGTCTCACAAGAAATGTAGATCTATCTCTTAGTTTCAAAATGATTTAAGAATCATCTCAATTCAATGCGTGTTGCTCAAAATAGAGCCAAAATACCACAAGGTATCAAAACTGTCTTAACTTGTATTTCATCCTTTGAACGTTTTGCACTTCAAATCATCAATAATCATCCAAATATCTTCTTAATTCACTCCATTTGATGATTGAATCATTAAACCTACAAAATATGAAGTTTTTACCATTAAAATCTATAAAAATGTAATTTTTACAATTTAACCATAAAAATGTCAATCTTCACTAGAAACCTAGTTCATTAACTATAGAAAATAAATAAAATGCACAAAAATCAAATAATAAAACACACTTAAAATACACAAAATACACGTGAGAATAAAAGAGAGATCAAGTGAATTAGGTTGGACTAGTGTGATATTTCTGAATTAATTTCACCTTCGAAATTTGAACTTGAAAGATTGAGGTGGGCCAAACTTTTTAGGGAGCCAAATCGACGTAAAATCCGTGAATCGGTGAAATCGTTAAAAGCAAGGTTGAGGCGGTGGAGATGAGAAAGTTGGAAAAGGCTAGTGTTTGGATGGATGACTCCATAACTCAGATCCAGCCCAATTACACGAGCTGTGAAGTTGTGGCATGTGACGCCAGCCCAATTGCAACAAGCTGTCTCTGCTTTCCAATGTGTTGTTTTTGGATATGGATGCTAACCCATTTCATCACAATCTTGAGAAGCATAACCTGTTATGCTAAACATTTCTTCGAATTGAAGCAGTGCAATAATGTCAATAAAATAAAAAAAAAAGCAGTGCAACAGCATCATCGTGACGGCACAAATGATCTCCCAAGAAAGTGAAACTGATCACTTCTTGAGGTTGCAATAGAAAGAAGAAAAGTAAAGCACTAAAAAATGTTATCTGTCTCTTCATTCTTGCTTGATAAATTTAGTGTCAGCATAACGGTTATATAAAGGCACGGAATTTACGTGGTGGGGGTATTATATGGAAAAGGTTGTAACAAATTTTTCTTAAATGTTGAGCAAGGTAATAGGGGAAGTATAAAGCTAGAAAAGTAAAAATCAGAAAGTTAAAAGCTTTTTTCTTTACTGGTTTGTTGTTTGAACCGTTGTAGTATGAAAATATTAAGTATTTTGTGAAGACGTTGCATGTATAATACTCCATTCTTTTTCTTTAAACTCGTAACATTGCATCATCTTCATCTTCATCTTTTTTTTTCTTTTTCCCTTAAAAACAAATATTTTATACAATATTCTGATGAGATTTGATAAAGAAGTAAATGAAGAGAGGAAAACTAATAAAATTCTACAACATGATGAAACAATGTTATCGTAACTTTTTTTCAATAGAAAAAAACAAAAAATCATTTAATCTCTATGATATTTTCTTATATATATATATATATATATATAAAGCGATATACTCTTATTATGATCACCAGCTCAAACTTCATAGACCTAAAGGATCTTATTCTAATTTGAACACAAGAAGTCAAAGTGATGCTGCAACGACCCTTATTGTATATTTCTTTACCGGGACAACTTAATTAAATCAAAATAACTCAAAATTCTAAAATATGTCATAATAAAATGCAGCCAATGAAGGTTTTCTCAGCTGTTAAGATTTGTACCATTTGCCTAAACGAAACTCATATTCAAATACACTCCTAGCAGTTGCTTAATGATACACCATATGTAAGAACACCTATAAGTTGTCAAGGGAGTAGCTGATTTACCCTGGCGTAATTTGAAGTGTGGTGACCTCCCTTTCTGGCTTTCTCTTAAATTTTCATGTACCAAAACTAAAAGGAAAGAAATAAAAGGTAGAGGACAAATGTAATTTTAAAGTGCAAAACATGAAGTAAACTAAGATAATTTAGAGTCAAGAAGCAATTTTCTACTGTTAGATAGGAAAATTGAGTCATGATTTAGAAATAGTTGATCATCAACCAAGATCGTAATTTTAATTGTCAGAACTCATAAAACTAGTCAAGTTTTGTCATTTAAAAGAACTCCTTTTTCTAACCAAATTGGAAATAAAATCGGCTCTACTTGTACGGATTGTATTAGTAAAGGAAGATGCACCACCAAGAAGCCACAATTTGTAGCCAAATAGCTGATTTTTCTCCTAAACTCCACACATACACACTGATTGTCACTCGAAGTGAATATTCGCAAAGTAACTCTATTAAAAATAAAATTAGCATAATTTGTTCCAGTTTGCTTAAATAAAAAGAGCATTTACTGTCAAAAAATGCTTTGTATCTTCAAGCAGTAAAATTGTTTAATGTATAAGATATTACAATCAATATATTTAGTTTATGTATATTTTTCTGTTACTTAAAAAGCCAGCATACAAGTTGCAATCATTGTGCCATTTCCATATTACTATAGACACTTTGCACTTTAAATTTATCAAAAGTTTTTTAAATCACCCCAATTGTTTGCGCAATTAATAAAAGTGGACTAGACAGCGCCCATGAGTTCATTACTTTAAGAAGACTTGGACTAAAAAGTATTGCGTAATTTATACAGGTAATGAAGTATATGCAAGGTCACTTTCACAACATACGTGTGGGTGAGCATCATTTAGTAATAAGTCTATGGCCACTCGGACTTGGAATAAATTCTAAGCAAAAAAATAATGAAAATGATGATTAGCAAATTAGAGCACTTGTTAAACCAAATTAGTTAATAAAGTGCCCACTTATCTGTTTGAATTCGTACAAAGATCCCCATTTCAAATTCTCTGCACAATCAATATGAAAGCAGCAAAAATTGGGATTTATGTGAGAAATCGTAATACAAAGTGTGATAACCAAGTTCCGAGTTGGGAGTTTAAGAGAAGACCAAAGATATTAGGGATGAAACTTCAAGACACAGAAAATTGAGGGACCATTATGTAAATAAGTATTAAATGAAAGAATATATTAGTGTAGTGGAGTTTCGCTGTTGAGGTACTTTCCCAATTCTTTCTTTCCTTCTCTCAACCGAAGCTCTTCCTCCTTTCTTCTTTCTTTCTTTTTGATTAAGTTTAACCTTGAGGAATCAAGGTTAATTGACTTGGGAGAAGCATGGAGATCTTATCGAGCCAACTTATCAATGTAAGTTTCAATACTTTGAACCTTATTTATGGTTTGGTTAGATGAACTATTTCGTTTGATTTTTATGCATTATTGTTATAATGGATTATATTGATTCTTGATTTGGTTGGGATAATTTATCTCTTATGTGTTGACATTTTTCCTAGAACTTTGTGATTGGTAGAATTAAGTTATGGGTCAAGTATGTAGTTGTAGAGTTGGTGGTAATTAGATCATGGGTTTGTTGACCATGGGTTAAGTTTACTCATTTTGCACTTGGAACTTGGTTGAGAAATGGAAATTAAAGTTGGATGGTTTTGGATTGGAATAATCTCATGTACATCTTGGTATTGAACTAATAATTAAGGATTAGACATAACAAATAGAGGAGATACTAGGTAATACATAGTTAAGGAAAAGTTGAATTTCATTATTTCTGCGATAACGGTAAGCCCTGCATGACTTTGGAAAAATGGTCATAAGTTGGTGTAGAAATTTCGGAATTGAGTGATTTTTGTTGCTTTTGAAACTAGATTCATAGACCTTTTCAAAGATATGAAATTTAGATTCTGATTCTTTCCCTATTGATACCAGAAAATTCGGGAAGTTGACCAAAATTCTGGCTCTACACTGTACAGTAGTACTAGAAATGTCAAGACTTTTGAATGATGATAGGCCAGTTTGTGTTTCGAATCACAGAACGGTGTCTTGAACACATTATTAGCATTAAGAGTTTAGTTTCCAACGGTACTAATTTTGTAGGTTTTTGATGTGTATAGTTTAAATTGTGGTTGTTTAACTGAGCACTGCCAAAGGTGGAAATCATACGTAATAAAAGCTGCTTTGAACTAAGTTTTCATATTATAGGTGTGGGAAGCATTTTTCTATATTTCTCGTTTGATAGTTCTCGAGTTGAGTAATTTGGGATTGTTTATAGGTGGGGAGGACATGTACTACAAGGATTACTTGAATTGAGTTCGGTATTTGTTTGTTTGGCTAAGTTAAGTGGTTTTGGTACTCACTGCATTTCCAACTCAAGTTTTATGAATGAAAATGGTTTCAACTGCTTATGTTAATATGAAATTTGGCATGGGTGAGAATAGATTTACTGCTTTTGACATGCGAAGAATTATGATAAAGATGAATATGATTTGTTCTGAATTCTGAATGCAATGTATGTTCTGCAATATGAGCTTGTAGTTTCTTGGTTACTATCTTTGGAACTAGTTCCACCACATCCGTCTGTTTGACCTACCTAGCGGGACAAATAAGTAGGAACCTTTTGTCTGGCCTACCTGACAGGACAAATAGTCAGGATTAGATATTCGATTATTGATAGAGACTGAGAGTTCTTGACCTTATTGTGATATATTGTTAATTATTGAATTTGTATAATTATGTACTCGTATGACAATTGTGTTTTAAAATTTATTATGATATTCACTTACTCGTGTTGATAGATGAGTACGTGACCTACTTATTGGGCAAGTGATTTGCTCACTCCATTTGTTAATATTTTCATTGAAGGATGGGTTTTACGAGATGATGTATGATCAGGTATGGGAGCTTCTAGGGAGGACTAAAGACTTGTTTAGATCAGTCTTACTTTGGCTGTTTTGTTTGGTAACTTTTGTATATAGAATTAGATGATGGCAGTAAATGGTTATATTTTGTATGGAATGTTGAATTTTGGGTCATGCGAATTGCTACAGATGTACATGGTAGGAAGATTTAGAAGTCAGTAGGTACAAAGCTTTAATTATTTGATTTTGATTCTAAACAAGGTGATGTTCTGTCCTGGTTTTGGGGGCGTGACACAAAGACACATAAATGATATTCTAAAAATAATCAACACTTTATTTTCTTAAAGCCACTTATTTCTTTCTTCTACTTGACATATATATATATATATATATATTTTTTTTTTTTTGGATAAAATTAAATTTTTATTTCAGTGCAACAAATAATAAGTTCCTCTCACAGACGTCTAATTTTCCGAACAGAAGGCATTCCTATTCTATCCAGTCTAATTGCCCCGCGAGCCAGCCTCGGGAGCATATGAAAACCGTCGTAGACCTTGACCTGCTGCTCAGGATGAGATATGCCCACATTGGATAATACATCAGCAACTTTATTAACCTCCCTAAAGCAATGTGAGAATCGGGCAGGGTCCTCGACCAACCGCCAAATCTGTCGGACTTCCCTTCGGATCTGCCACGGGCACTGAATGAGCCGCTGGAGAACCCCAACTAAGACCAATGAGTCCGATTGCACCCATAGATTAATAAAACCTCGGTGAACACACGTTTGAAGGCCAATGAGAAGGGCTAACGTCTCTGCGCGAAGACAAGTAGTTTCCCCGAAGAAAGCCGAAAACGCAACGAGAGGCATCCCAGTTGAATCTCGAAGAACCCCCCCACCTCCACCCACTCCTGGATTACCTTTGGAACAACCATCCGTATTAAGCACCAGACTCCCCGTCGACGTCGCCTCCCAGCGAACAAGTTTAACGTCAAATGCACTGGTAGTCAAATGCGACCAATCAAACAACTGACAGAAAGTTTGCACCCCAAGCTTTTGCTTGAAATGGATCTCCACAATGGACTTGACTTCCGAGAAGATGGATTGACAAATGACAGAAGACCGCATCTGTTCCCCTTCAAACACTGCTTTATTTCTAGCCTTCCAAATATGCCAACAGATAAAACTTGGAAGGATAAGACAAATAAAACGCCGAGTCGCAGAATCGTGTGACCGCAACCACCAATCGACTATGCGAGCCCGCAGTGAAGAGCTTGGGGAGTTCAAACCGCACAAACCACCAAAATAAGACCAGACCTCTGACGCTACGTGACCAATGGCAAACACGTGCTCAATAGATTCCTCAGACGCACCATGACAGCAAAAACATTTAGAAGGTAAATAGAACCCAAGTCTGCACAAAGCATCCGGCAGTGGCAGCCTCCCCCTCAATAAGCACACCATAAAGAATGACACTTTCAAAGGGAGGCGAGGATGCCAAACCTTAGAGGAAATCACCGACGTGTTACGGGCTTGTCGGACGTCTCGAAAAGCAGATGCTAATGTGAATGTACCAGCCGTCGATGGCACCCAAATGACTTCATCTGCACACCCTCCATCAGGGACTGGGTACTGTAAGATGGAGGGAACAATGTCCCCTAGCAAGGTTTGAGACAGAAGACTTGCGTCCCAGTGCCCATTGGTAATAAAATTACAAAATGAGAGAGATAGATCAACTGGTGCTCTAAGAAATAAGGCGCCGCTGCCTAGCCAGTTATCATACCAGAAGTGACACGACCCGTCATTGACTAGGAATGCTTCTGATTTGATTGTTGATGTTTTCTGATGAATTGTAGCCTTGTATCTTAGATTTTGGATGGCTTTGGAATCACCTGATTTGGACTTAGGTAGCCTGACTTATGATGTTTGAACCGGAATGCGGTTTGTGAACCTGTTTTTGCAGTTCTGGTGTAGTATATCGCATATTTGACCTGGTTACACTCGAAACTGGATAGAGTAGCCTTCTGTAACTTTGTAGCCCTATCTCTTAGCTTCAAAACGGTGTATTTTACACCTCCATCCGATAATCATAGTGCCATTGGTGCCAAAACCGCATAATGACGTCAAAAACTATTTTTCTAGCTTAGTGCTTAATTCCATTTCCGAATTTCCCTGGTTTACTCTAATGTTTATACATTCTTATGGAACCCTATTCTGATGGTATTTGGTAGTGGTGTATGACTTGAAATTGAGTCTTATTGTGCTTATTTGAATAGATTAGGACGTGATGTTGGTGTAAGACACTCTTAGGCGGAGGTGCATGAAATATCATTTGCTTAATTGGTGAATATATTACTCACTTGTTTCTTTACAATGCGGCTTTGCTATATGTGAATGTGATGCCTTGAAGGCTTATTTGTCCTTTGAATTTGATTAAGGTGAGGGTGTACTTGATCGCCCTCACCCCTTTTTGATATTATTACTGATTGTCTGCTGTTTCACTGTGATACTGGATATGTACATGGAAAACTGATTTTGGTGTCGTTTGGACGAGTATCCAACGACCTTTACTGTACTACTGAGCTCAATCCCATTGGTAATCGATTGAATCGAGCCAACGAGGGCTTGGTCGTGAAAGTCGATGAGCCATGGGGACTGTTATTTGGAATCTTGTAGTAGTGAAACTCTTGATTCCGGTATACTCGAGTATTACCAAATTTCTACTGTTCGGAGTTCGGGCCCGGTAGGGGTATGTTGGGTGAAAGGAATGGAAGTAAAGTGGAGCCTACGGTTGGTTACTTTGTAAACATTGACGGAGGGTCAATGAAGTTCGATCAAGTATACGAGCGAGGAAAGGGGCTCTTGAGAGCCGTCCGTATCCTTTTACCATCTTGTTAATGTGTGATCTTGGTTGATTTCTTTTGACCGCTTTATGGCTATATAACTTGGTTGCTTATGTGATAGTATACCACTGGGCGTAAGCTCACTCTGTTCCTTTTGTTTTCCTTACAGGAAAATAAATACTTTTGAACTGGATTTGATAGTTGGTTGCCGAATTGAGCTAGATGTACATATCTTTTGTGTAGCTCATTGATTGGAACCCTAAATGTACTTTTGGGTCCGATTTCTCTTTTGATTTGGCAAACCGTATATGTATAAATTTATGAGATAATTTTGTATGCCATTTTGGTTTGTAAATGCTGAATTTCAAGATGTGTATGTTTGCGTGATGTTTGGCCGGATTTTGACGTAGCCGGTACTATTCATGGCAGGCTCCGATTTTCATTTTTTTTTATTTATTTTGTGATTTTGTCTTGTTACGCGCGTTTGTATGTTCCAAAACGTATTAGATCGACATAAACTGAACCGTTAGTCCTGGCGAGAGTTGGGCAGGCAGTCCGCTAACCCCTTTGGTTCGCCTTAGGGGAAAGTGGGGCTGTCACACATTTCATACCATTTCTCATATTCTTTCTTACATAACAATTACTCTTCATGTGACCAATTTGGCAACAAAAACTACACATAATCAGCAAATTACTTGCATGGACAGATTTAACAAATCTAACTTACCTTCTCTTATAAATGGTAAATTCGTTTGCACTTGAGTTCAACCTTATTTCATGCATGCCAAAATGAGGTTTTGATTTATTTCTTTGAAACCAATTTTGTTTCTTGTGTTGAAACAAATCATTTAAATTATCCATTCTCATTATCAAATCTCCTTGTTCTCTTTTAAACATTTCACACAGCTTTATTTTTCTATCAAGTTCAGCACGTAGATCAGTTTCAACTTTATTTTAGTTATCATTTTCAGCTTTCAGATTCTTGTTCAATCGAAAAAGACTTGCATTATCCTGAATAAGAAAATTGATTTTCTGTTTTAGTTTCTTGTTTCTAGCATAGGAATCTTTCAAATTGTTATGCAATCTTTCAATGAAGGAATTAACATTATCATCAGATTCCTCATCACTATCAATTTGAGAATTGCAAGTAATTACCCCATCATCACCAATGGCCATGAAAGTCATTTGAGCAGATTCTTCTCTTTTTTTCGACTTTACCTTCTGAGTTGCAATCATTCCATGTGATTTAAAAGTTGTTAAACTTTGGTTTTCGTTCAACTTTTCCTTCTTTCTTTTTCTTCATTGGGTACTCACTCACGTAGTGTCCAAACTGGCCGCATTCAAAATATTTGTCAGTTTACTTTTTATTGAATTCTTACTTTCCTTTATTTCTTGCATTGTTGAATTGATTTAGAAATGAATTGCTGGATCCTCCCTTTCTGAATCTCCTCTTGTTGAGAATTCTTTTGAAACTTCTTGTGATAAGAGCAAGATCATTGTCGTCTACTTTAGCATTATCTCCATCCAAGGAAGTCAAGTCATTTTCATTTTGAGATGCTTTTAGAGCAATGCTCCTTCTCACCTTTGCATCTTCTTCCTCTCGTATCTTGGTCTTAAGTTTAAGTTCATAAAAAGTTAGAGAATTAATAAGAGATTCAATAGGCATAGAATTCAGATCTTTTGCCTCTTCAATGGCAGTTACCTTACTCTCCTAATCTGTAGTCAATGCATTCAAGATCTTTCTGTTTTTCTCACCTAGGTTATATTCCTTTTTCAGAACTTCTAGATCCTTAATGAGGTCATTGAATCTACAATACATCTTGTCAATGTTTTCATGAGGTTCCATATTGAATGATTCATACTTGGTAACTAGAATAGACTTTTTTTATTCTCTCATATTCTCACTCTCTTCATGGATTTCTCTAAAATTATCCCAAATCTCTTTAGCAGACTTACACCTTTTGACTCTAATGGATTCATTTGAATCCAAAGTACTATACAACACATTCATAGTCTTGACATTCAGAGTAAGATGGGTTCTATCATCACCAGTTAATTCATTTTTTATTTTTGGTCATAGTTTATGAGTGATTTCATTTGTTATAGAGGCATGATATGGACATTTATTAACAATAAACTACAATTCAATATCAATAAATTGCAAGAAAATGATCATTCTCTCTTTTCAACTCACATAATTGGATCCATTAAACATTGGAGGTCTGGTGACAGATTGACCTTCAAAAAATATTGCATTATTGGTTGTCTATTTTACTCCAAAATCGATTGAGCTTAATCTCTAAGAGACCAAACTCTGATACCAATTGTAAGAATCGAAAACAACCTAAGAGAGGGGGTGAATTAGGTAATTTAAAAGCTAATCAAGTTATGAGACACTTTTTGGCTCGATATGAAATTTTTCCTCTTTTCTAAATGATCACACAATAAACAATTGATTAAGAAAGCAAGATTGCTCAGGAGTAGAAGAGATAATTAATTTATGTTTGCA